GCTTATAATCTACTATAAATACTCAAATTTATTAAAAAGTAAATCAAACAATTCCATTGAATAAACTTTCGTAGTTTTGTTATGATATTTACCACTATACCTACCAAATTTGTAAACATAAATTAATTTATTATTACTGTATTACTTTATTAAATTCATACAGGCTATACCATAAGTAAGGTCCAACATTGATTTATTATTATTGTAATAATTGTATATACATTCTACCTAATGCATAATAGTTAGCAATTCTATAATAATTGTATATGATCGCTATATCACAAGAGGATAAAAACAATGAGTCAATATACATTGTGTAATGACAATCAACAATGTAAAATTACATAACGTCATGTTTGTTTGAGAACCAAATAGATTTATAATATTATTTGATGCGTACCTAAATATTATTCTTAATTGAAGTAAAACTTCTTCCTTGAAGTGTAGGTGGAAAAAAGTTGTAAAGAAAAATGAAACGACACCTTTGATGCTAATGTTCTCTGAAACTACGAAACATTTTTTTTAATGAAAGAGTATACCACGGAGAAAGTTCCTATCGCGCTAGCATTTATCTATATTAATTAACACTAAGTTTCATAAACTTAAATAATTATTATGCTTATAAATTTGCAGGGTTGACAGTTGGTAAGTCGACTAATTTTATACATAATTTATAATTCATAACAATAATCATACAGTAACGATTTACATAATATACCTATATGTTCACAGATGTTGATGGTAAACTCATTTACTATTTTAATTATTTAATAATAAAACAAAATAATTACACATATATTCACAGTAAAACTTCCTTGAGAATGTATCACCTTATTATAAGATTAAAATCTCTTAAAACGGAAAATAACAACAGTCCGTAAAACCTATATTATTTTAGTTTTGATCTAAAAGAAACCTGAACCAGCTTTTTAATGTAAGATATTAATCGAAGATACTGGATAGGTATAAATCATCAATTTTGATTAGAAATTGTATTTTATTTAATTAACTGCTTACTTTGCCGTATGTAATCATTTTTGGTACTCTGTCAAATGAATAGAAGACAATTTATTTATGTTTTTTGGGGGGCGGTGTCATTAAGTTTAATCTCCTTGAATATTGTTTTCATGGATACGATGAACGTGTTATTCTGTTGACATTTGAACACATCATTGGAGTTACATTATTTACAAAAAACTAGAACACCAAATTAAAAACCGAAAATATTTATAATATTCTTGGATTAAATGTTTAAATTGTTTCTAATTTAGAAATTCTAAATAGTAAAATTTTAATAACTTAAATAATAAATATCTTTATAAATTAACAGATGTTACTCGTTGTAAGTCCACTCATATATTTTACATAATTAGTAATTCATAACACTGATCATTTAATAACGATTTACGTTTATACATTCACTATACAGGTATTAAAAGTAAGCTCATATAATAATATTTTAAAGACTGACGGTGAGCTAGATAAGCGTTGCGCACTCGCACTCGCATGCACATGTCACTATATTATGCCTAACAACAAATTTATTTCATGGTGAAATGTTGTAAATCATAGACCTAAACGAATTCCAACATTCCGACTTGAGTTTTAAGCCGATAATAATTTTGAAAACAAACTTTGTTTTGTTGTTTAATAACCTTTGGATCCTTCGTGCCACATTTTTAATTTATTATTCTTAAAAAGAAAAAACTTCATTTGAAATGTAGAAAAAAAAACTTGTATTCTTAAAAATTGTTATGGACATAAATAGTTTTCAAATTTTTTTTTTATTATTCTGATTCGAATGATTCAAAATAGACTTCATAATAAATTCAAATATGTTTTCAAAATTATTATAGGAGTAAGACTCAAGTTAGTATGTTGGAACGCGTATAGGTCTATTTTACTCTAAAAAGCGGTAGTGTGGAATCCCCTTAATTTATAATATAAGAAAACTGAATATAATATTATATGTACACATAAATCTTGATGTCAATGTTAGCGCTTCTAGTGGACTATTTTATAAAATGTAATATAATACAAATATTATGCATATATTTATATTATCTACATCGTTTTTATAACATAACAATTTTTATTAGTTTTAATTTTAACCGATATGAGCGCTATATTCCGGCCCACGAGAGTCCTTACGTACACCACGCATTGAATTAGTACCTAATACGCGACGACTGTTTTCTCCCACCATAATGTCATTCCCACTATTCGACAACATGCAGATGCGCAGCCACGGTCTTAGATAATTAGGTCTGGCAACTAATCCCCGGTTATGAAGCTCTTATTGACGGGTCCCGCTATAGTGACGCCATCTACCGGCCAAGTATATTATTATTATTTCGATGATTTTCGACTTAAAAAACTTTATGTATTGTGAAAGTTTAACTGTATTTGATGATATCGTAGATGGATTAATCACTAAATTAGAATCATTCACTTTCCCATGTTACATTATTTCTTATTCGATACAAGACCACGTAAGTAATGCGACAGTACACGAGACAGTCAAATCAAGATAAATTTAAAGAAAACTTAAAAAAAAAAAAAAAAACAATTATCATAATTTTGTAAAACATAATAATAATAATACTTATATTAATTTAACTGTAAGATCTGGATTCTGGATATTTTCAATGTTGATATTTGATATTTTTAATCATTTCATAATATTTTTTAATTTTTAGATTCTAATGTTTTATACTTTTATAGCCTTTATAAGTATTTAGTATAATATTAATTTTTAGGTTTTAATGTTTTATAATTTTAAATAATAATTACTATTATAACAGTAAAATTGTTTATATATATGGTTTACCTTTCAATGAGTTATAAATTATTAAACTTTAAATTACTTCTAGAGCGCTTCACTAGAGCGGGATCCGACAATAAGAGCACTACTGATTTGTGTAAATTTGTTGGGGAGTTGCATAGGCCTGTGTGCAGCAACTTAAGCCTTTTTACATTTGGACTCTGGTGGGCCGGAGTATATGCATGAAAACAGTTACAAATCACTTGACTTTTGGTTTCAAATCGTATGCCCTCGTCGTGTGATAACATTTTTCTAATGGATTGTTTGGCCACCATACTATCTTAAATCGTGGTTTACAATACATCTTGATTTTTCAATTCCTTTTGGGTGTAACTCGCTGCAGTAAGTGCAACTCAGCTACCCTGGTAGGCAATGTTCAATAATTTGATTTGGTGCTAGCTTATACCGGATCTGCCTAAAAAACCAATGGAAACCAATAATAAATATATACTAATTTCTACTGTAAACTCTAACCAATGGCAACTATTTATAAAATAAATAAAAATACAATGTAAAATTTCAATCGTGAACCCCAAGATCCCTGTTTAAGCACCTCTTTAAAATGCGAATTTCGGCAAATTCTTTCTAATTGCACTGTTAAAGTATTATAGGAACCACTATTACATATTTCAAGTTCGCACGTTGAGTTAGTTTGAGATACAGCGAGTTAGTGGTATTTGGATTTTATATATACATATAGATAGTTGAAATACATTTTTAAATATTTAAGCCAATATTTATTTAATTTACGATAACTTGTTTAAACTTTTAGAGTGTATGGATTCGATTCGTGACTATAGTTTTGGTAAGCGATTTTTTTTAACCTAACCAATAATTAAAAGTGATGATTTGATTAATGGTTATCTATATAAATAATAATAATCAATATAAATAATCTATCTACCTATCTATATAAATCTTATAAATAAAAATGAATGTCGCTTTTTTCCGCACTCGAAACCTTGAAAACTACTCGTCCGATTCGCTTGAAATTCAACAACAGATGTTTAGCCGGATTAGGGGAAGATTAGTAGCTATATGAGAATCACAAAATATAACTCAAAGTCACAGAAAATAAAGATTCAAGGTTGGTACAAGTATAGAGCTCTAACGGATTAATATTTAATATACATAATAACGTATATAATCTATAACTATAAAAATAAACAAAGTTATAATAATATTTTAAAAATTATTTACTATTTACAAATTATTATTGATGATCATTTAAGTGCCTGTTGTTATACAATGTTCCTGGTTCTTCCATTTTGACAATACACAGGGTGATTCATTTATCACTGAACACTCATTATTTCAAAAAGTATTAATGTTTTTGAAAATATTTATTTTTATACATTCAAGTTGTCAAAAAGCAGCTTTTTTTATTAAAAAATTGTATTTTTAAATATTTTTTATCCTTATAATTTTTGAAGTTTTTTACTTTTTGGAATGAAAACATAAAGTTTTAATTTCATATTCCAAAGCAGAATATTTTTCAAAGTATTTTGAAACATAAAAATCGAATTTAGGACGAGTAGCTTATGAGTTATAAGTACCTATTTAAAGTTTTGACAAGTGGAGTAGTGGATAAATATTTTGCGGGGGAACCCCGTATCAGTCCTCTCCACCCATCTAAACTTGAAATAATTATAACTCATAAGCTACTCGTAATAAATTTGGTTTTTATGTATCAAAATACTTAGAAAAATAGTCTGCTTTCGAATATGAAATCGAAACTCTATGTTATCATTCCAAAAAGTAAAAAACTTAAAAAAAATATAAGAAAAACAAATATTTAAAAATATGATTTTTTAATAAAAACTTTGTTTTTAACAACTTGAAACTATAGAAAATAATATTTTCAAAAACATTAATACTTTTTGAAATAATGAGTGTTCAATGATAAAATAATCGCCATGTATATTGAGTTCTTTTGGATCACCCCCTCTTGAACATGCCGCATATAATTGAAAATGGTCGAAACATTGCGTGTCAAGCAGAAGTCCTGTGGTTCTTAGTGATTGTCCTTTCGATTTATTAATTGTGAACGCGAATGCAAGTTTTACGGGGAATTGTAATCGTTAAAACTTAAATGGCTTATCACTTGGTTTAATCTAAATTCTTGGTAGGCATACATCTTCACCTTTTCCATATCCAGTTAATATTGTAGAGTCTATTATATATTGTTGTTTAGAGATTTAACATATAACCGCGTAACATTGCATAATTTTGGCAGATTAATATTTCTTAAAAGCATTATGGGTGCTCCAATTTTCAAAGTTAAGATATGTGATGGCAAACCCGATATTTCTAAAGAATGTAAGAATTCCATAGGGTAGTGTACTGTGTGATTGGGATTGCATACAGTATCGATTGATTTGTAAGTTTTACTCTCTCCTGGAAGAGAGGATGATATATCTATGTTAATGTAATTTACTTTATTATTTGTTGGGGCAAGAATGGCCCTTTTACAACACCATTCATGATTGGTATAATTCTTTTGTATTTCAGGGAATACGTTTTTTAATAATGATTCAGTTGAATTTACAATATTGCAGAAGTTAGATGGAAATTCAATCATAATATCCGAATTCTCAGGCCATTTTCCATTACCAAGGAGTAGTAATTGTTCTGAAAAAGCCTTAAATGTCGGATTATGTGTTAAAAATACCCTCATGTTTTTTTTAAGCATTATAATTTCAGTATGTTTCCAAGGATATGAATTTTTCAGGGACGCATCTATTTGGTCAGCCAGCGTTCCTCTTGTTATTATTGGTAGCGTTTGTCGGAAGTCACCAGCTAAAATAACTGTGACCTTTCCCATTATTGAATTATTGTTGTTTAAATATTGTTAAGTATTGTTTAAAGATTCGGGTTCTTTTTTATTTACCATCGTACATTCATCCCACACTATTACTTTAGTTCTTTTTAGAAAGTTACAGGTTGCCGGATTATCTATAATATTGCTAGTAGGCTTTTCTGTTAATTTGAAATTCAATGGTAATTTTAATGCTGAATGTGTAGAACGTCTACCATGTAAGAAGGTTGCAGCGACCCCTCAGAAAGCTAGCCTTTTTGCCTTTTTGTCTTAACTCTGCCAATATTAAATTTAATAAAAAAGTTCTTTCAGTACCTCCTGGTGCGTCTAAAAACATAAGCCCTCCTTCATCTTTATCAATAATAAATATAATTCTTTGGAACACTTTTTTTTTTTGATCATTGATTAGTCGTGATTTATTTTCATTGATGTATTCATTTAAATATGATAGATTGTATGATGTTTCAGGTAAAATTTCGGTTTCATAAGAATTAATTTGTATTCGATCTGTTAAATTAAGTCCCCATTGATTTACATTTTTACCACATATTCACAAACATGCATCCTCTATGATTGTAAGAGCTTCATTAAAGATTTCATCAGTATAATCCATACTATAGTAATTTAATATCTGTTTTCGATATATTATATCTTCACTTATATTTTTTTTATATTTATCCCATAATTGTTGTGGATTTGATGGGTGTTCCATGATGTTAAAATGACTACATAAAGTGATCTGATTTGACTTGATCGTTTTGTTTCATTCGCCTCTGATAACGCATCATCCCAATGTTTATCATATTTGAGTAAACCAAGTCATCAGCATGCTTCTCTGTACGATTCACATGTAACCCCATCAATAATTCTTATATCTTCAAATGAAGTTGGCCCACGTACATTATGTAATAAGATTCTTAGAAAAAAACATTTGATATTACTAGGATGTATCGTACGCATTCGACCCATTGTATCAGCTCTAAATATATTAAGATGTCCACTGACAGGAATTCCTTGTTTTCTCATACTAAACTTTTTAGCTGAATTATCCCATGTATAATATTTTGGAATTTCAACATAAAATAATGTCTTGGTGAAATGATCCGCTTGGCATAATTTGAAAAATGCTGTTAATTTTGATTCTGGTGGGGCAATTGCTTTTTTTTTTCAACATTCTCTTTGGAGATGTAAACACGTTGTCCATTTTCTAGGTGTCCGCAGAGATGAACTATGTTCGGATATCGCTCATGAATATTGAAACTAAAAATTCTCCAAATTGCTTCATTACTATTTATGTATCTTTCAGATCGATAGTCATTAATTTAATGTTTATTATTATTTTCTATCTTAAACATTGCTTGATCACCTTTGTTAATATATTTTAATATGTATTTTACGGAAATAATTGACATACATACTTCAGCATTAAAATGTCTTTTTAGCGTTTTTAGAATAAGTGGACGGTAATGGACAATCCATCTGTTATCTATTTCGACTGGTTCATATTTCCCATTCATCGTTTTCATTTTTATATATGTTTTAAAACCACCATTCCTCTTACTCTTTCTTCTGTACAATGGATATCCTTTAGATTAGTTCTGGTTTCATCTATCATTTGTCGAGGATAATTAAATTTGCATTTTTCGTACAAGGGGAAAATGGATTCCATTTTCCACACGATCCATGTATCATGTGTTTCTTTACTAATTCAAACAATTCAAGATCTTTCTCTGGATCAGGTAACTCGGCTGAAATGAGATCATCAATTTCATTGTGATGAATTTTACTTTTTAACCATATAAAAATGTGCGCATGTGGTAATCCTCTTTTTTGCCATTCTATTGAATAAACCCATGATACAACTTCACCAAATTTTATTTATTCAAATAAATATATTCTATAGGTTTATGTATTTTGACATTTTTGGATCCAAAAAATTTACTCTGTAACCAATAGGTCAAACCGAAGGGCAAATTCGAATTTCAATCGTCTAGGTCATAAATTCGAAATATTATTAACTGAGAAATCCGAAGTCAAAAAAAATCAAAGTGATCGCAGTACCATAAAAAAATTTGACTTTGAATTCATCAAATTTAAAAATATACTTGATGTAAAACAAAACAAGACAATAGGTAAATTTTAAATTATATAATACAAAATATGAAAAACGAGCATAAAAGAAACCAAAAATTTAGATATAATTGGTATCATCAAAACCATTGGAAATATGCGAACTTCAATATCAACGAAGTGATTAAAACTAAAAAGGATTTAAATTACATTAACTGATGACACAAATTCAAAGGTGAAAAACACAATTATATCATATTTTATATTTTTATGACTGGTAGAATTTTTATTTAGATATTACTTATGTTATGGGATACTGAGCAAATTGAACATTTTCAAGGAAATATTGACAATACGATTGCAATAAAAAATTGTAAAGTTTCAGATTACTGTGGAGTTAAAAGTATATCCCTTATGAATCGAACTTCAATAATTGCAATAAATCCCGAGATAGACGAAGCAAAAGAGTAAAATATTCAAATAATTCAAAATACTTACATTCAATTAATTAAATAAATTGTAGTCACGACAAAGGCCAATAATATAATAATTGGTCTAATAATATATATTGCTCTAATAATCACTGCAACTCAATAAATATAACTTATTATAAAATTTTCATAGCTTATCAACTGACGTCCCGGGTAAACCCAGCTAGTTGATAATATAAACAAATTCAATAATAATTAATTAAAGAAAAATATGAAAAATGTTAATGTATACTTTTAGAAATGTTGAATGTCTAACGTTGAACCCCCTGTATAAAAGTACACGTTTAACATTCATTGTTTAAATTTTCATTATAATAGGTAGTATTTGTACCTATAAAAATTACATTTTTAAAATTATAAATGTTGAAACAGACTACTGCGTTACAAGTGGTAAGTATATAATTATTTGACGAAAAGACATATTCTAGAATTTAAGGTTCTCAATGATAAAATAATGTTAAATTTAACTAATTAGGTAATAATTTTATAAGCTATTACTCGCTTGATTGCCACCCAAGTTTAAAATTCTCGTTACCATTTTATAATTCAAAATGTATTGTAAATACCACGATAACCTTTTTTAGTTATTTTTCAAGATTGATTTATAATTTATATTTTGTACATCGGGTGCTATTGTGGTTATCCTAACCTAACGACATTAACTTCGTATTGGAATACTCTAACATTTTAATTTCAGACTAGTAATTTTCACAAAATCTTATAACAATAATTTGTTTAACCAAAAATGTAATATTCTTAACTTAACAGAAATCACTTAAATATGTCAGGTTACCAGGATATGTAACAAAACACGTAAATAATAATTCAAGTGAATTGTATTAAATGTAGAGACATAAAGGTACATATTGTTTCAATGTGTACATATATATACATTAGATTCCAACCAATAAAAATTCTAGAAACTTAGAAGGCCTATAGTCTATACTAAAACATGTTTTAGATACATATAAAGAATAAAGATATTTATAACTCCAGATCTTTACAATTGAAAAATACTATAGCACATCCAAGACACATTTTACTTTGAGGGGCAATATCTCAGCAAATGGATTATTCAAAAATTGAATTTCTTATATGAAAATGCATATAAAATTATAAAAACAGTTTCATACATTTTTTATAATGTTACGTTATGTATGTTGCCATTTAAAAATGAATAGTTGATAGTCAGGGGTAAAATAATATTGGACATGAAAATGTTAAAACGTATTGAAATTTAGATATCTATAATTCCAAAAAGAAAAATATTAATGTATACTGTTCGACATATTGAATGTCTAACGTTAATATCTATCCCCTGTATAAAAGTACATGTTTAATGTTTATTGTGTAATTTTAAATATAAGGTAGGTTATAATTGTATTTGTAATTATAAAAATTGCATTTTTAAAATTATAAATGTCAAAACAGAATATACTAATAAAACTGGTAAGTATATAATTATTTGACGAAAAGACATATTCTAGAATTATTTATTGATCTTAATGATAAATTTATGTTAAATTTAACTAATTTAATAATAATTGTATAAGCTATTAAACTCTTAATGCCTCCCAAGTTTAAAATTCTCGTAACGATTTTATAATTCAAAATGTGTTGTACCATGATAACCTTTTATAAATATTTTCAAAGAAGTTCATAATTTTTATTTTGTACATCGGGTGCTATTGTGGTTATCCTAACCTAATGACATTAACATCATGTTGGTACCCTCTAATATTTTATATTTAGACTGGAAATTTTCTCAAAATATTGTAACAATAATTTGATTACCAAATATAACCAAAAATTGAATATTCTTGACTTAACAGAAATCACTTAAATCTGTTACCGTTATCAGGGTATCTAAAAAAACATGTTAATAATAATATTTTATCTGAATTGTATAAAATGTATAGATATTAATTTACATATTTTTTCATTAATACATTTTTAAACAGTACATTCAATCAAACAGTTTTCTCGTAAGTATATAGTTTTCTGAAAATATATTCTAGAATTTAGAGATCTTAATGACACAAGTTAAAATATTTAACTAATTAAAGGTCTTGCTCGTGTGTATTTCACAATTGTCAATATTCAATATTTAATTTCGTCACCAATTGTGACATATTATATGAACATAGTCAAGTCATGTTCAACGGCACCGCCATCCAAAGATAAAATTGTATGCTCAAAATATGAGCTACAGAAAAATATTCACAACCTATCGTAGTCTGATTTCATTAAATTTTATTTGTTAGAAAAATTATGATTTCAAACAAGACTTATTGGATAATGATTGTTGATTTCATTGTTCAAAAAAAAAAAAAATAATAAAAAGCTTGTGAAAAATATTCCCATTATAATCCCATTATAATATTATTTAGAAATTGAATTAAAAAAAAAAATATCGAAATCAGATCACTCCATGAGGCTTAACAG